CAGGCGGGTCTCGAACCCGCGGACTCACGCAATCCACTCACCTCAGCCTCCCAAAGGCGCAAGATTACAGGCTGAGCCACCGAGCCCGGCTCTGTTTTAATTCTTAAAGTTCTGGATGAGAGGCAGCTACTGGGGGCCTACTGGGTGGGTGTGGCCATAGAAGGGGCACATCTGTGAATGACTTTTAAGACCTGCCTGGGACCAGGTTCCATGCTGCGTACTAGAGACCGCACCGCCCTGTCTCTGGGCTGCTTTCTGGGGGATGGGAGCTGAAGGAAACTGAAATGCTAATATATGTAGTGAGAACCTTGAAGAAGGAGGAACATTCTAGGGGCTTATCTGGTGACAGACACTACACCCTTTCTGAAACGGAGAAAGAAAGGCAGCAGAGGGGAAGGGACTTGGCCAGGGTGACACAGAAGACGTGTGGCATTGCCAAGACCCTGGCACCCCTGAGATGCAGGGGCCCTGGAGGTAGGGTGAGGGCCCTCCCCCGCCCCCATACAGTCCCTGCAGCATGAGACAGGCCGCTCCCATGCCTGGGAAGGAGCTGCAGCTGGCAGGGCTATCAAAGAACATGGCGATGGCGGCTCTTATCTTGCTTTTGGAAGGATGGAATAATTGACTGTTGTGGCTGTGATGTTGGTGCACATGACAGAGTGTTGGGGAAGCATTTGTGTGTGTGTGTGTGTGTGTGTGTGTGTGTGTGTGTGTGTGTGCGCGCGCGCGCGCAGGGCAGACCAGTACCCAGTGGGAGAATGAGCTGGGGGGAGGGCAGCCCCAGACCCTCACAGCTCCCATCCACAACTGCCCCCATCATTTCCGAGCCCAGACCAGGCCGGTGGCCCGTGGGTGCGCGTGAGGACGCTTGGTGGCAGCCAGGAATGTTAATGGGGCTGTGCTCTGCATGAACTAAATTTAGAAACCCAAACCGAGAAGGTGAATGGCGCTCACCTTCCCGGCAGCAGGCCCAGTTGCCGTTAGCTGGAGGATCTGGGGTCCCTTCTTCCCTGCCCCCCTTCCTTCTGCCAGTGTGAGGGACTCTAAGGGGCTGTCCAGGGGCCCAGGCTGCCCCCTTCACCTGCCTCAGAGTAAGCAGGCAGCCTCTCCTCCTAAGATGGCCCTCCTAAAAAGGGTCTGCCCTTCCCCCCCACAGCCCCAGGGCAGGAGGACCCCCAGGGCACCCCCAGACAGTGAGGGACACAGGACCAAGCATGTGGTCTTCTCCCCACCCCCACTGCTCACATCACTGACCGCTGCCAACCTTGCCCTGCAGGATGCTACCCCCACCATCTGGGGGCGGTGACGTGGACAGTGTGACGTGGCCAGGTGCCTCAGAGCCGTCTGTCCGTGGCAGAGGGAACTGTGTTTCTGGGAGCCAGGCCAGAACCCCAGGAGACAGGCAGACAAGAGGGGCTTGATCCCCAGGGGCCAGAGATGAGGTTCAGGTCAAGGGGGGCAGGTCAGGACCCAAAGTCCCGTGGGGACTAGAGCTGCCAACCTGGGAGCAGCTATGGCTGGGGTGGCACTCTGCCATGGTGACACCCTCCTACGCTGGCCCTGGACCTTGTTGCCAAGGCTAGACTCTGGCTCACCTCCTTTTCCCTGGGGTCCCTGCCGTGAGGAGGTGGGGAGGACACAGCAATGACCCTGGTGCTGTCTCCACAGGGCAAACGCTACAAGAATTCCTTGGAGACGGTGGGCACGCCAGACTCAGGGCGTGGGCGCAGTGAGAAGAAGGCCATCAAGTAGGTGCCAGGCTGCCAGTTTGGGGCGGGGACGCACAGGCCGCCCAGGTGGGAGGAGCCCCTTCTTCCCCACCACTCTCGTGGCCACACACACTTTCAGTTTCCCCTCACACCCTATGCCATGTTCTCTCCCCACCCCCACATATGTACTGTCTCTCCCCACCCCCACATATGTACTCCCAGCAGCCCAAAGTGGCCCCAACCCTGCATTTTCTGCCTGTGTCCCCAGACCGTCATGGTGCTCCCGAGTCCCTAGCCTCCTTTCTGGCTGCTCTCATCCTGGCACTGTCTGCACCCATGCCAGGTCTGGTTGCTGCTCCTTCCATCTGACCCTCATGCCATACACACTGTCCCCAGTCCCCTCCCCAGCAGCACTGGACCTCCGAATCCTCCCTCAGCCCCTGCTCCTGGGCCAGGGAGCTCCCTCCTTGTGGGCTTAGGTTTTTTCCCTCAGATCCTGCTGATGTTTCGAGGGCGACTTGGAAGGGGCGAGACAGACAAAGCTTGGGGGCCCCAGCAGGCCCCAGGGCAGGGCCACTCAGGGGAGGTAGAGCACTGGGAGAGGCCCTTTCCTCATGTCACCCTGGCCCCCATTCATGTCTTGCTCCCCTTGACTCGCCTGGGTCTCCCCATTTTGCTGTGAGAGCCCTCTTCAAGCGGATAGGTCTGCCTTCCTACTGTAGACCACCTGGAGACACCAGGAGAAGCCCCCCACCCATCTCATTGGGGGCCCAGGGGCCCCAGGCTCTGGGAAGGAAGGCTCTCGATGTGCCCATGGGTCAGTGGCCGCCGCCCCTTCCTCTCTGCTGGGCCCTGGACTTCACTGGGAAGCTGCCCGAAAGCCAAGCCCCTCCCTTCCTGCCCCCTTCCTGCCCCCAGCCCTTCCCCACATGTCTTTCCTCTTCTGCCTTCCTTTCCTTTCCCTCTCTCCACCCCAGCCTCCATACCTGCTCCAGAGGCTCCCTCCCAGTCCCCCTGCACCCCTCTCATTTTTACCTCTTGTGCTGACCTTGTTTCAGGCCTTCACGGAAGCTGCGGATGTGTGTCTGGGATGGGTTGAGCGGAGGGGTGGGCCAGGATGAGGCCGGGGTGGGCGAGAGGCTCAGGAGGACGCTGCGGGGAGCCTTTGAAGCTGGGTTTGGTTGCACGCTCTCCAGTCTTCAAAGCCGAGAGCTGGCAGGTCTTGGGCTCTTGCAGATTGCCGGCTGGGCCTTCTGGAGGCAAGAAGGAGCGCCTGGAGGGTGCAGGGCCAGCCCAGCACTGGGGCTACTTCCTGGCCAGCCAGGCCGCTTACAGCCAGGACTGGAGGGCTGTCTCTGCCACAACCTTTTTGGGTAGGGGCGCGTGTGGCAGAACCAAGAGTCCTGGAAAGGGCCCATGAGAGGGGACAGAATTCCTAACTAGGGGGGAGAGTGGGCAGGCTCTGCCAGGCTGGGACTGGGGCCCATGAAGGCTCTGTAAGACAGATAGGCAGCAGCAGCTGTCCAGCCCACCTTCCTGTGGCCTTACCACCCACAATCCTAGCCTGCTCCCACCCTGCTGAGCAGTCAGGCCCTTTACCATAGGGAAGGAAACCACCATGCATGTCCACATGCACCCAGACCATTGGCTCCTGCTAATGAATATCTAAGGGCCCGAGCCAGTAGAGTGGCAGGAAGCAAAGCCTACTTCCTGTGCCCTCCCGGGGGGCTTAAAACCTTCTCCAAAGGGACCATCTTGTCAAGGATTCTGGGAAGCTAGATTCTTTAGCAGTGCTTTTCAAACTGTGTTCCTCAGAGCACTCGTGCCCCATAAATGATTGCTAGTTATTCCATGAATCAAGGGGTTCTGTGGCCTACTAAGTTTGAGAAACACTGCACACTGTAGCTCCCTCATGGTAATACTGATTCATTGGTACCTTAAAGGCTCTGAGAAGTCCTGCAGTAAAGAAATCAGTGTTTCCCAATCTTCTTTAATTAAAGATTCTCTTTTCCGGTACCGAAGTGGAAACCTGAGGGACTCTGGAGCCCCTCGGAGCACAGGGTGGGAAATGAGCCTGGCAGTGATGACTCTAGACAGATCTTTTTCTCTAGGACCTAGGACTGGATGGCCCTAGATGTTGAGGTCTGGAAAGAATGGGGGGGAGAGACCACATCCATACCCTTGTGTGATGCAAGGAGAGAATACAGAGTGGGGGCCAAAGGGCATCTCTGTTGGAAATAGGGACCTTTGCTGGGGGACAAGTTTCCCCTAGGGCCTGTCCTGCCTCCTCTACCCAGCCCCGTTACCCCTGTGAGCTGGCTCAAGGCCTTGTGGCTTTGAACCCTGTACACAGAGTCTCTTATGAGGCATTCCTGAGGTGTACTCTGGACAGAGAGGCTTTGTCTACACCAGGGAGGCCCAAGGCCACCATCTTGTCTGGGCCTATGGTGGTAGCTCACCTTCTCTCTGTCTTTCTCTCCTTCCTGCCTGAATCTGATGTCGAGAACCAAGATCAAGATCAAGTTCAAACTCTCAGGGAGAGGAGAAGCAGGTGCCCCCAGATCATGTTTGCTTGATCCTCAGGGGCTGTGCCTCCCCCATGGCACTCTCCTTCACAGTGCTGCACCTTGGCCTTGAGCCGGGGCCCAGTCTCAGCACTTTCCAGGTCTACCCAGCACCCCTCCGGGAGCCCCTTCCCCTGGAAGCGTTCCTGTGTCTTAGGCACGGCTCCCTTCCAGAATAGTCCTTTGGCCTGGGAGCTGACTCTCCTCTCCCTGTACTCCCAGCCTTGCTCCTTGGGGCCCCAGTAGCTGGTGGAGCCCCTGTTCCTTGGTCCCAGAGTTTCCAGGCCATGCCCTCTGCGGGTCAAGGATTCTGCCACCCACCCCACTTGAGAGTCCCCACGTTCTCTGTCTTCTGGCACAGCTGCTCCCTCTGTGTGATATGTCACAGAGCAGGAGGGGGGAGGGAGACGGAGGCCAAGGTCCCTTCCAGACCCAGCAGGCAGGCCAGGTCCACATCCACAGAAGGGCAGGCTCCCTTCACACTGGCCCTGGAACAAAGGGCCCCTAGTTACTTACTCATTTACTTACTTTGTAGAGATAGGGTCTCACTGTGTTGCCCAGGCTGGCCTTGAACTCCTGTCCTCAAGTGATTCTCTGACCTTGGCCTCCCCAAGTGCAGGGATTACAGATGTGAGCCACCATGCCTGGCCCCAGTCTCATGTAAAGGCTGCATCCCGGGCACACCAGACGGGAAGAGAGGGCAGAGGATGCCCCGGGGTCGGGTCGGGAAGTGAGTGGGGACACCTCAGGCCAATGGAAAGAGGAGACAGCTGAGCAGGGAGCTGGGCCTGCCCCAGGAGGGGCTCAGTGGAGAGGAGATAGAAGAACCTTGGGTCTCGCAGAACTCGGGCTGCTACCCCACAGTGAGAGAGCTGATAGCATAGCAGTTATGGCTCGTCTTCTCCTTTGACAGTCAGGGAAACTGAGGCCAGGAGAGGCAGGGCCCAGCAAGTTGGCAGCAGCATCTGGTCTAACTTTCAGCTCCCTCTAGCCAGAAACCAGCACCCTCTCCTTCGCCTGCTCCCGATCTGTGCCGCATGCCCCTCCCTCCCCCGTCCCCTGCCCCTCCTCCTCCATCTCATCATCTTTCTCTCCCCTCAGCTTCCCAGGTGCGAGGCTCCCGTCTGCCACCTGCAGCTCGCCTCCTCTCTGTGCGGTCCCTCCGGCCCTTGGGTGCGCATGCGTGTGTAGGAGTGTGCCGGCACGTGTCTGTGTGCGCATGCGTATGGGTGTGTGTGCCAGGCACAGGCTGCGGTGCCCGCCTGCCTTTCTTCCTCCTGCAGGAGCAGACCCTGAAGCCCCGCCCTCTGTGTGCCTGGCCCCTGGGGTCCCGGTCCCTTCTGCCCCCGCAGGATGAGCAGTTCTTGTTTCTTCTTGTATCTCCCTGTTTTCTCCCCTCTCTCTCTGCCCCTCCAGTGATCTAGACAGAGACTTTTGGAATAACAATGAGAGCACAGTGCAGCAGAAATGGAGTTCCTACCCTCCCAAGGAGTTTATTCTAAACATTTCACCCTACGCCCCTTATGGCGACCCACGACTGTCCCTCAAGTGAGTGACTTTACCTGGTTTCATCATATGTACCGAGTATCCGCGCACGCCCCCTTCCCTCCTCCTGCCCTGCCCCCTCCC